GAACATTCCTATAACACAATGCTTTCACTGTTATGCTGACTTGTATTGAGCAGCTGATTATTGATGCCACACTCATCATGGTAGAACTGAGACCAAACATCTGACCACTGCCATAAATCTAAGATATGCTGGAGTGTTGCACTGAGATTGTTTACAGGATTTCTGAAGCTTAGTTGGAATGATCACCAGGTTCTTTGTTACTTCGAGAAGCCTATCAGACTACTTTCGTTGGCCATTGTGGCCATTCTTTATAGCCTTAGCACATCTGTTGGTTGATATTGTGAATGTCTCAGAGCTCTGCAGAAAGTTGCTTCAGTCTCACGGTGCATTTGGCTTGGTTATCTTACAAAATATTTTAACATGGTTATAGCTGTATAAATCTTTGATTTCAGGCAGTTTAGAATATCAGAGGTGACTTTTTAAAAAAGTATTTTATAAACATCTATAGATATTATGTTTCTGTTTTGTAACCATGAAGTATGGAATGATTCATGACGAGGCAAAAAATTAACAGGAACAATTTTAGTGTTAGGGTGTAAAGGGAATTAGTCATAATGTTTTCTGAATGTGATGTAAATAGTTGTCACATCATGACAACATGATACTGGATAGTCATTAAAACACATGACAAAACCAGTAAATATTTTGTCACTGAAATATCATTTTATGTCGATATAGTAAACTGACTGACTTGTACAGAATTTCACCACAATCTCAGCAGATGACGCTGACTCAGTCTTTGGATATTTTACATATTTAATCTCCTTATTTGGTTCACAATCCACAGGGAGGTTTTTCGATGACTTTGAGAAGAACATTAATGTGGAAAGAAATACAGAACTGTAAAAAGGGCAGAAGTCTGTAACAAAAACTACTGCCAATATTCGTGTTTATTACAAATATGACATATAAAAAAAATTATATATATATTTTAAATTGCACTGTGGTCTTTAAATCTTTGTCCCAGAAATTAAAGGTAGAAGGAAATGCCTCAGTTTTCTGGCGGTGGGATGTGCACATGGGCAGGGCAAACATAGTGGCAGGTGACACTCTGCTTATATATTTGCCACTCACTGCTAGCTGGGTGACAAGTACAAAAGAGGGACACACAAGAACTGTGAATTTACACAATGGCGTTGAGGCAGTGGACTCATTTATTTGCTTTGGTGAGCCTCCTGGCAGCAGGTAAGTCAGGCTTATGCCAACATGTGCATGCAACATAAATGTTTTGACTTAAAATATAAATGCAAATATATATTTTCACTTAAAACCTTTTAAAATTGTCTCCTCTCATGAACAACACTGATCCTGTTGTGTTTCTTTCCAGAATCAAATGCTCAGCCTGATGGTAGGTAAAACAACAGTTTCTCTGATTAAAAAAAACAAATCATTAATTAAAATTTATTATTTTTTAATATTAATTATGTATTTTAAAATAAAAAAAATTAACCGGGATCCAGATAAAAACAGAAAAAATGTTTTCCGTGTTCCTACAATGATTTATGTTGCTTCTGAAGTTTGATCCTGCTGATCTTTGTTTCAGTATGTGGCACTGCTCCACTCAACGGCAGGATAGTCGGAGGTGAAGATGCTCCACCTGGATACTGGCCGTGGCAGGTCAGCGTGCAGCTACGTGGTAAACATTTTTGTGGCGGTTCCCTCATCAACAAAGAGTGGGTGATGTCTGCTGCTCACTGCTTCTCTGGGTGAGTAACACAAACATCTGTTTAATCTTTATACCTAAACTGATCCAGCTAGAACAGGACTTTGACTAACATTTGTCTAAAAGGCAAATACCAGATTGGAAATTCTAAAAATTATGTAATTCCTGAAACATTTCATGAACATAAATGCTGAAAAACTGACCCAAGCTTTCTTACTCTTCCAGCTCAAATGCAGCATAATGACAAATGTTTACAGTACATTTTTTTGTCAAAACGTCTATATTTTCTTTTCATTTCTATAACTTTAGTTCAAGTCCCTCTGGGTGGACGGTTTCTCTTGGTCTTCAGAGCCTGCAGGGTGCAAATCCAAATAAGGTGTCCAGAAATGTTGTCAAAATCATTTTGCACCCAAACTATGACAGTAAGACCTACGACAACGACATCACTCTGCTCAGACTCTCCTCACCAGTCAGATTCACTGACTACATCAGACCTGTGTGCCTGGCAGCAAGTGGCAGTGTGTTCAACAATGGCACTGATAGCTGGGTGACTGGCTGGGGTGCAGTCAAGGAGGGAGGTGAGGCTGTTGTTGGTGTTTCAGTGTTCATGTGTTCTGTGGTTCATTGGTTTGTGTGTAAACAGCTCCTCGTCTTGCATCCCATCAGTGGCCTTACCCTTCCCTCAAACGCTGCAAGAAGTGGAGGTGCCAGTTGTGGGAAACAGACAGTGTAACTGCCTGAATGGAGTGGGCACAGTCACAGACAACATGATCTGTGCTGGTGTTCTGGCAGGAGGCAAAGACTCATGCCAGGTAGGCTTCCTCATCTCATTTGGTTACATAATCAGATGTTTCAAAGATTCTCAGATGTGTCCTCTTCATCTCTACAGGGAGACTCCGGAGGTCCAATGGTGAGTAAACAGGGCTCTGTTTGGGTCCAGTCTGGAATTGTAAGTTTTGGATCTGGTTGTGCTCGGCCCAATCTGCCAGGAGTCTACTCCAGAGTGTCCCGTTACCAGTCCTGGATCAAGTCCCGCATTCGCTCTAATAGGCCAGGATTTGTGCAGTTCATCTCCAGCGGGCTGGATCCTGACAGCAGCTACACCTGTCCTGGTCTCTAACAAGACTCTTAAGTGAGTCTGAATATGAATGGGAAAAAATAAATATATATATAGCTTTCAGACCGTGTTTGGATCTCACTGATTATGAATCCTGTTTTACATCCACAGGGACATAAGAGCAGAGTCTTCATGGTTCCAAGTTGCTGTCGTAACAATCACTGGACGTAAACTGAGCCATGCAGATGTTGACATCTTTACCAAACCTGAAGATTTGGGTCATTCTTTCAGGAGATTGTTAGTGAAACATCATCTCCTGCAGCACTTTTGACAAGATTTCACCAGATTACTGAGTTTCCTTATTGCTGTCTTTTGCTGTCCTCGTTATCTCCATGTTCCTGTTGTTATGGTTTGTTGTTGTTGGAGGTTGAATTAGTTTGTTATTAGAAATGACCAACAGATGCTAACAATCTTCATTAGCACCCATTTATATTTATTTAATGTACTAATGATGCTCAGATCAAAATGAAGAAACTAATTCATATAACCTGATTATTTTGTAATATTTTGGTATGTTTCTGTGAACTAATTATACATAAATATGTCTGTTCTGTGCATTCTGATGCTGTTGTCTAAATATAAATGGTATGATTATGTAAATTTAAGAACTAAATTTAAATGCAATTCTAATTACATGTAGAATATAATAAACATTCATTAAGCAGAAAAATGATTTTGTTTTTGACATCATTCAAAAGTAAATATTATATATATTATTTATTTGTGAACAATTTGCATCATAAGTGACAGTTTTAACAAATCACGTGTTTTTTTCACAAGCTAAATCATTTTGAGCATACATATTTAATTTCACACAAAGGTATATTAAAACATACAATGTCCGTGAAAATATAAACAGAAAATTTTAAATTTAGATGTGCAGTCATGAGCATATTCTTGATAAGCTATTTTAAATTTCATTTTATAATACATCACAATCACAATCTCTTCATCACTCCATCTTCTCGGGTAGTTACATTAAACCTTCAGTCTATTTCATTTAAGGATCCAAATTATAAGAATAATACATCAGATATCAATTCCTGATGACTTCTATTGTGACTCCTTAAAGAAAAATGTGTCTGCTTGTTATATTTTGACTTCAGGTACCTGTGTGATCTAAGCAGATAATTAACAATTGCATTTTTCTGCTCAGACAGACACTAAAAAACTATCCACATCCCTAAATTTACTGAGTTTCTGCCATGTGATTGGCTGATTAGATATTTGCATTAACAAGCAGCTGAAGTGGCGTACCTGTGAAGTGCATGGTCAGTGTATGTCACGGTCTGGCTACAGACTCATTTTTTCTCAGTTGCAATGTATATACTAAACTGCATTTAACATCTCACGATACACTACAGATACTCCTGCAGTGCAGTCATGTTTTAGAGTCACTGTGGTAATTGTGCTTTTAATGCTTTTAATTACCCCTCTAATAATCACCCTCTACATCAGCCCATATACAACATTCAGAAATTACGTGAGAACGCAAATGGACTGAGGGAAACAGAGGCTTAAATACACAGTACAACGACGAGGAAACAGAAAATACATGCGGAGCAAAGCTGAGACAAATTAGACATGACGACACTAGGGAACCAAAACTAAACACACTGAACATGGAACACAAGACCTTCACAATAGAACAGGAAATGAATGAATGACTGACACATGAGTTTGACAGAGGAGTGGAGGAAAGGCAGACGAAAGGGAGCAAGGGAACATGAGGGAGAGAGAGGAGACATGATGGGCTCAGGAAACATAGAATGGAAAAGAAGGAGGGAGACAAGACGCAACGGCTCATACAAACACATAAACACAGACACAGAGAGAGAGAGGCAAAGACACAAGGCGAAACCTAACAACCCAAGAACTAAACAGGGAGTATAAAGAAATTCAAAACAGAACAACTAAGACTATAAATGAACCTGAACATAAACCATAATACAAAATATCACTAGAATAGAAGAAACTCAACATGATGGGTGAAAAGGACCCAGAACCATGACATTTTTAACATTCCCAAGTCATCAGAGGGCTATTTTCTCACACAAAAACAACAATTATAATATCACACATTTAGAAGAGATGCAAACTAAATAAGATCTGAAGTGTAGTTAAGATGTAATAGTTTGCATAGTAGTTTAAAACCAAAATATTGCTCATAGACAAATAGTTTTTCATTGGGTGCATAAAAGATTAAGTGCAGGGTTAATACTAGGCATTTACATTGTGCCGACGGAGCTCTTGGAGTGCAGTGGCATTGACGTATATGCTGTCTGGGGTCTCGTATGTGTTCTCACATATATCCTCATAAATGTTCTCTTCGTTCGTGTCTTTTGGTTGCAGACTGTCCATAATGCACTGGTGCAGGAAAATGTACTGGGACTGAAAAGGAAATACCAGAAGTTTTTGGTTATTTGAAATGCAGAACTACTGCCTGTAAAGATCATAATATATTATGATCTTTACAGGCAGTAGTTCTGCCCTAAACCCTAACCCTAACCTTAAAATATTCTGCAGTAGATCAAAAACAAAACATTAAGTCATTAATCAACATTATCTGAACATTACCTGATGCTGCTGAAGTGAAACAGAGCAAAGTTACAGAGGTTTTATTAGAGACACAGCTAAGCATTTTGCAATTTTGGATGATTTTAAAAAGTTTAAATTTGTTCAGTAGCCTATTGAACAGCAGAAATGAGTCTTTCTTTTCGGAAGCAAGTGAAAGGGAACAAAAAAAAGCAGCGGCCGACAGCGCTGTAAACAACGGTAGACTTGTGCATAATAAGCAAGCGACTAATGCAGAAAAAAGATTTTTAGATGGGAAACTGTTCTTGGAGAGAGACAGCGAGTTCTGCATGAAGTGTGATTTTATCGTGGTGGGAGCAAAACAGCAAAACTAATTCATGACGATGTTTACGTGAAGCGAAATGTGAAGCGTAGTTTGGATCTTCATTTGCTGCTGGTTCAGTCAATATTGTTTGGAGAGAGATAAAAACCTGCAGCTTCTGAATCTAGCGCAAAAAGGGCGTAAATACAATGCGCGGATCCGCCGACGGAGGGGAATCAGTGAGCTGTCGGCTTTCAGCCCCGACCCTGCCCGTGCCGTCGGGTGAGAGATCTCACTGCTTCTGATCTGTCGGCGGGTCCGCGCTTTGTGTTTATGTCTTTGTGCAGAATCCGTGTACCTGCTTTCATTTACTGTTTCAGCTGTTTGGTGATTGTTGAAATTTTGTGAGGTTTAACCTGAGATCCTGGCATTTCGGGAAAAATATAATTAGTATTAAAAATTGATTCAGGGTTTTAATGAATTGATTTTACGTTATCCAAGCCCACCTCTACAGCAAAACACTTGATTGAAATGTTATTATAGTCCTGTTTGTGACATTCTGGACAGTATTTGTCTTTGTGTCTATGTCTACATCTTTTTAAGTAAGAGAGCTAAAAAAATTTTTTCATAAAACAAAGCTTGTTGGACCTTTTTGTTTATTAAAAAATTGGAATGCTTTATTTTTGAAACTGTGCTGCAATGTTGAAAGAAAGCTATAAAATCCCAGGCAAGGAAAGTCGCCTTCATGTTTTTCTGTGTTTTTTCCTCAGTTACTTTAACACAAAGGCATCTGCTGTGATGCTTACACTTTTGATAAATTCTCGCAAGTGTCAGCTTTCTTTTTATAGATATAAAAATATGTACTGATACGTGATCAGAATTATAATATTTCTGACTGAGGCAAAATTTCCCAGATTCAAATCGAATCGAACCGTGGATCGAATCAATTCGGGACCATGTGAATTGGAATCAAATCGCCCTATTTTGCTGTAACATGTACAATGAACAAACTGGGCATTAAAGATTTTTAAAAAATATTTTAAGGAGTCATCTGCTGGTTAATGTGTACAAAGTTTGAAAACAGAAATTGAACAATAGAAAAAAATCTTTCAAACTCATATTTTAAGATGAAAGGATGGACAATAAGGACCTCAATTTAAAACAAACAAACATAATAACTGCATATCTTATGATGACTAAAATGCTGTCTGTGTGTTGTTTCACCAGCTGTGACTATAAAGAAATACACGGTTAGCTAATTAAGGAAGTAGTGGCTCAATCAGAAGCAGTTTAACACAGTTACCTCCGTCTGCACCATGTACGGTCGGCTCAGTCTCATCTTGTGTACGAAGGCATTGATGCCGACTGCTTGTTCTTTCTCCAACTGCTGAAGCAGCACATCCAGGGAAATGATAGTGCCAGTTCTCCCGACTCCAGCACTAAGAGAGACACAAGCGTCATAATAAGATAGCAAAAGGTTTTTAAGGTCACATAGAAAGCTCTCATCACTGTGTCTGTGCCAAAGTTATTGTAGTTAACAAAAACTAAACTAGAACCTATAACTAGATGTGAAAACAATGTGGAAAACAATACTGTACACAACAACAACAAGCTTCAATAAAATTATAGAGGAAATGTCTTTAATTATAGTCTTTGTCCCTTTGGTCAAATTTGTCATCACAGCCTGTTCAGTAAGGCTTTAGTGCATGTGTTTGCAATTTGTAATGTAATATCTGCTCAATGCTTTTAAAAATATACCCCTGACAAATACCCTAAATGTTATAATTATTAAAAAAAAAACCCACACAAACTAATGAAAGCTTAAATAAAACGGAACATTTTAAAAGAGTAAAAACCAAAGTGAAACTAGTTAATGCAAAATGAAACTAAAGTGAGCTGAAAACAAGACATCAAGACAGAAAGAAAAATGGATTAGAAAACACAAAACCTGAATGACACTGTTCTGTCACAAAAGACTTTTAATCACAGACAAGAGTGTTTGGGAATGTGATACCAACCCTTCACCTGCTCCTAATACGCTGCCTCGAAACATCACATTATATTTTTACAGTATCAGTCAGACACTGTCCGTGCTGTGTCTCTATAAAGTCTCACATATAGTAGAGTTTATATGTGAGTACGTAGTAATTTATAATGTTGTGGTTAATTGAATGCCTCCTCTGCAGATCCCAGAAGAGGTCTGACTGTAACACAGCATGTTGTATTCTACAAAGTCACTGGAGCACAATTGTGTCGTTGGTGGTATTTATATTTATGAGAATGATCCCAATTTGTTTCAGTGAGTTTTCATAATCTTACAGGATTGAAGGCCACAGAAGGAAAGAAGTAAATATAAGGATGAACTAGTTGCTCCTAACTGAAGATCTTTAAACTCAGCACTTATACAAAAACTGACCTTTAATAAATTATGATTTAATATTAGTAAATTCTTTATGCTGACCAAATTTATGGTCTCCAGCTTTTATGTCACTTCTTCGTAATCTAATGTGAATGAGACTAAAGAAAGCGTGCCTGGCAAAACAAAAAACCCAAAACACCTGGATTTAACCAAGCAAATAGTCAATAGCTTTCCCATTCATACTTACTGCAGTAATCAGTAATAATGTTTAATAATTTTGGCAACCAATAGCTTATTTAACCCTAACCCTGAAGTAGCATCTTATTTATTAAGCGGTTATTTAGGAAGACATATCCTGTAGTAATGAAAAATATGTTAGTCCATTTCAGAAAGGTCAAATTACTGGCCTCCATCAAGCAAAGAAATATAATTGCTGAAACTCCTAAAATGGGTTAAGACATTTCTAAAGCATTAAAAAAAATTATGATATAATAAAATATAAAAATTAATATTAAAATCTGGAGAGAAAGTAATGAGCCATCATCTTTTGAGAGTAAATATGGTTGCAAAATATTCTTGAATGATTGTGATTTGAGCTCAGTTAAATGTTTGGTGAAACCAAATCATAAAAAACAAAACAAAATACAAAACTATTTGACTTGCTTTCACCACTCAGTTTAAAAAACAGCAGCCGTGTGTGTGTGTGTGTGTGTGTGTGTGTGTGTGTGTTTGCACGTGTGTATGTGTGTGTCTGTGGGGTCTTTAGTGATAATTCAGTAGGATAGGCACCATCAATGTTGAAAACTATAAATATGTTTTAGAGCAACACTTTCAGATAAATATCCCAGAGGTCCTGCAAGTGGCCCTTTTACCTTCTTTTACTTTACTTTTATTACTTTTAATAGGCCATTTGGAGGATCTCTTGGTACTTAGGACTGTTAGGTTGAAATTGTTAAATGTTGTCATTGTGTTACTTAAATTTGTACGCCTTGCCTTAAATTGTATGATCAAAGACATTCTTCTGTTTCTGTTCCCATCCCCAGCCTGTTGAATGGTGAGGGAGGTAATTAGCTGTAGTGTTTAACTGTAGAGACATCCTATGTGAAAATTCTCTGTCCTTATTTAGTGAGTATGTTTTACTTCCTGCCATTTATGTCCTCACCTGTATATGGTAAACCGTTGGAAGAAGCTAAGCCAGATAAAGGGGTGAGGGGAGATGACCCTTTGTGATCAGCAGGACGTCACATAAACACACACACACACACACACACACACACACACACACACACACACACACACACACACACACAGGCTTGTATATGCACAGACACACATGCACACACACACAGTGCCTTAGTTTTATGACGCACCACAGGGCGGTTTTACAATGGGTGTTTGTGAAATTGTGGGTGCTGGTTCTTTGGAGTCGTTTGAGGTCGAGGGCAGGAGTGCTGCCGTTCGGCTCCCCTTGCTATAGCATGTGAAAACCGGGTGAGCTGTTCTGCCTTGCATTCTTCATGGGTGATAAGTCTGAACTAGCGGGCCTGCTGAAGCGCAGACTCAACAAGGACCATTCACTTTTATAGTTTAGCTACTCAGTTCTCTTAGATGTTTATAGGCTCTTAAAAGAAGAGGGGCGATGTCCCAACTTTATTGACTTGCGTTGCTGCCATCAAATTTAAAATGAGCTGATATTTATTGTTGGAATTTGGGTTGTAAGTGATGTGAGTTTACCTAAGTTTGTTGACAAGATCATCTAAAGTAAAGGTGGTCCAGTATTAGAGTGTGTGACTTTAGCTGGGTGGATATTTTATAAAAGCAACCCTGCACCCATGTAAAAGGAAACACTTATTTCGTACCTGGAGTGAACCACAGTTGGTGCTTTGCCCCCTTCTCTCTCTATGTGCTGTCTCACCAGTCCTCTGAACTGGATCAGGACCTCTGTGCACTCTGGGACTCCATGATCAGGCCAGGCAGTAAAGTGGAAATGTTCAACTGTCCGTTCTTCTGAGGTTTTTCTCTGTGAAGAGAAAATATCCATATACAGTTACTTTATGTCGATGTCTTGATATACAGCAATTATCAATCAACCATTATTCTTTTAAAAGCAACATTAACAGTTAAAGCCTTCAATGTTTTCTATTCATGTTTTCTAGCCTTACTTAGTACCATCTACACACACACACTCAGAAGATATAAGTAAGTTTTTATACATCTTTCAGGTTGAATTCTCTCAGCGTCCAGTTGGTCTCCTGTTGCTCAGATCTCATGGTGACCAACAGCTCTCCATAAAGGCATGACTTGCTGTCTGCAGGCCAGTATTGTTCACACTTGGTCTAGAAAAATGAGCAAAAAGCAACACAATATACGTACAAAATGTATTTTAATCATAGATCTTGATCTGTTCTTTGTGAAGTGACCAGTATGTTTCCTCCTGACAACAACTTCCTTGAAAGACTATCAATAAAACATTTTAAGATTTTCCTGAAGACTTACCCGCCCTCCTTCAATGCAGTTGGTTACCATAACGATCCTCTTAACTCTTTGTTCCCAAATCATTCTCCAGAAATCATTAACAGTAGAGGGCAGAGGGCCCTGAGTGGCAATGTACTCTCTGTTACTGCTGTAGCCCTGAAAAGCAGTGGACAAAGTTAATATGTAGACTAATTTAGCTTGTATATCTTCTGCTCGTTATAGAAATGAAAAAAGAAAGCTCATGAAATCGCACAAAGGTGCTTGTTTATATGCTTTCTGTATGGTGTAGTTATAAAGAG